CGGGCCCGAGCGTGAGCTCTGGCATTTGCCGCAGTACCTCGGCCCTCTGGGGGTGGCCTGCGGCTTCACAGTCAAAGGGGAGACGTGGTCAGGCCAGGGCCACCAACCACGGGGCAGCTTGGGTCTGCATGCCCTCTTTCTTAGATGCCTCCAGATGCCTGGCGCTGGGTGGGACTCCCAGCAGGGCCTTGGGAGACGCTGTCCCCAGACCCGGCTGGCCACATGCTCTGGCGCTGGCCTCAAGGTTAAGTGTCCTCTGAAATGCAGCCGTGCTGGTACGTAAGCTGCGTGCATACCATTCACTCACTTAGAGTGAGTTCACTTTGGTGAGTTCACAGGCTGTGCCACATCACTGCAGCCCCACTGACGTTTCCGGCCCCCCAGAAGAGGCCCGTGAGCTTTGGCAGTCACCAACCTGGCCCCGCATCCCTGAGCACCCACTGATTCCCTACAATGGGATCCACTCGACCGGGCTTCAAGGCCAGCGTCCGATCCCGTTCTGGCCGGGCCGGCCCCTCCACTGTCCTATCCGCAGTCGTCCCCTGCCGCCTAGGCCGCATCTGCACGGGGTCCGCGGGCACAGCCCCCACCGCTCCTGAGGGCGCCTTCAGGCCTGACCTGTGCAGATGAAGTCAGTTCCTTGGGGAGAAATCGGGGACCCTGGACCTGGGTGAGGACAGTAGCAGGCTGCTTCTCAGCTGACACGGTCTCTGCTGAGTGCTCCGTGGAGGGAGGGAGGCGGGCAGGCCGCGGTCACCCGGCTTGCCAATCCTGGTCTGAACCGCGCCCCCCGCCCAAGCTGGGCAGGGCTACAGGGCCCAGTGCTGCACAGTTGCAGCCTCCACCCCAGTTGGGGCTGGGCAAGAGATGGTGCCCTCTGCCCCCCACCCCAACTAGGACTTGGGGCGGCAGGGGTGGGGTGGGGCAGGGAGCAGGGGACGAGGGTAGAGGAGTGTGGCGGGGGGAGAGCCGCTGAAGCCCCACCCACGAGGCCGCAGCCTCTGCGCCCGAATCTGCCCCCTGCACCAGGACTGGGCCCGGCTCTCGGTTCAGAGAACAGACTCGTCTTTCTTCACGAGTTCTGTCTCATGAACGGATGTTCCGTTGCTTTGGCCCTTGGGACCCTCTCCACAGGCTTTACAGGGCTGTGTCGTTTCCACGATTGTCACCAGTTTTGCTGGGGAGCAGGTCAGCTGAGCTCATGCCAGAAGCCAGTCTGCACTGAAATCTTTTTTTACGGGAATTGGGCATTTCCGCGGACCGCCTGGCCCTCCTGCAGTGGGCCGGAGTGGGAGTCAGGGCAGCCTCGCTGGGACGTCCCCCCATCCTAGGGAGCCAAGGGCACAGGCTTCCCTGCCCCCAACAGGCGCCCCTCTCCTCCCCAGGGCGAGTGCTCCCCCAAGTGCCACAACCTCTTCGTGCTGGAGACGGTGTGCGTGGCCTGGTTCTCCTTCGAGTTCCTGCTGCGCTCGCTGCAGGCCGAGAGCAAGTGCGCCTTCCTGCGGACGCCGCTCAACATCATCGACATCCTGGCCATCCTGCCCTTCTACGTGTCGCTGCTCGTGG